TGTTAGGCTATTTATTTCTCTTGCAATCAGTTTTGATTGGCCTTTGTATCAATTGGATATAAAAAATGCCTTTCTTCATGGTGATCTTCAAGAGGAGGTGTATATGGAGCAACCTCCTGGTTTTGTTGCTCAAATAGAGTATGGGAAAGTATATCTTATGAAGAAATATGTATATGACTTGAAACAAAGTCCACGAGCTTGGTTTGGAAATTTAGTCAGATTATTGAGAAGTTCGGGATGTAGAAAAGTGATTAGACCATTATATTTTCTTTGGAATTTAGTTCCACGCCAAATATTTGGGGATATTAAAGTATTTATTGGAATCTTCTATCCCAAAGAAAATATGTTTTTGATTTATTATCGGTGTCAAGAAAATTAGGTGCTAAACCTTGTAGCAATCCAATGGTTCCTAATCTAAAAGTAACCAAAGAATGAGAATCATTGTATAATCCTGAGAGGTACAGGTGAATTATTGGAAAATTGAACTATCTTACGGTAACATGCCCTGACATTGCGTATTTGGTAAGTGTTCTGCGCCAGTATATGTTATCTCCAACTGATGATCGTTGGAAAGCAGTAGAACAAGTATTGCATTCTCTGAAAAGTGCTCTTAGACGGGGAATTTTATATAGAAATCATGGTCATACTAGGATCGAATGTTTTTCAGACTCGGATTAGGCAGGATGTAAGGAAGATCGAAGATCTACCTCGGGATACTGTGTGTTTGTTGGAGGTAACTTGGTTTCATAGAAGAGTAAGAAACATAATGTGGTCTCATGATCTAGTGCATAAGCTAAATATAGAGCAAATTCCATGTCTGTATGTGAAATCATATGGGTATATCAACTCCTCAATGAAGTAGGAATTAAAGTATTAGTAATAGGAAAATTCTAGTGTGATAATCAAGTTGCGCTTCATATTGCTTCCAACCCTATTTTCCATGAACAAACTAAACATATTGAGAGTGATTTTCATTTCATTCGCGAGAAGATATAATAAGGCTTGGTCACTACTGGGTTTGTGAAGATCGGAGAACAACTATAAGATATTTTCACAAAGGCTCTCAATGGAATATGAATTGATTATATATGTAACAAGTTAGGCATGATTAATATATATGATCCAACTTGAGGGGGAGTGTTCCAGATTATTAGGCAAATTATTAGTCTAACTTTTAGACTAATATATATTCAATTAAATGTAATATATTTAGTTACCTAGTTTATTTATATTAGTTGTGTATATATAGCCCTTTCTATTGATGAATAATATATACAAAAAATACTTTCTCTACTTTTTCTACAATAGCCCAAAGTAAATAAATAAGAATGCAAGGTATGGGGGTCACTAAGTATGCACAATTTGCACTTTTAATGTCAATCACTTGTACATATATGATTAACATTGCATCAATGTACCAATAAACAAGAATACCTTAGTACCATAAACACTCTAATATGTATTGTATTCCCAAGAGTACAATAGTATCATAAACAATCTATTATGTACTCAATAAAACTACATACAATACTACCATAAACACTACTAATGTACTCAATGCAAGTACTAATACTTCACCTCTATGGCATGCCAATAATATCATGGACTCTCAACATACATATATCATGGACTCTCAACTATATAGTAGTACAATGGATAGTTCATATCTGAAAACATTCAATTCCATTTAGAAAAATATTATGAAAACATCTTAATATTAATCAAATCATTTTTCTTTCCAAAACATTCAAGATTGGCTTATCGCAAGCCTTCCTTATATCATATATAATAATAAAAGATAAGAATGCACTCACTTGGGATACTTCACTAGCAAACCTTAAGTAGCGATATAAGTTTCACTCCTTAATTTTTTTCCTTAGCTTTAACATTTCCATACTTCCAATTTGATCCAAACATCATTCTAAAGCTTGTATAATCACCAATTCATCATGTCAATCCTTAAAACAACATTGAATAATTTTTCCTAATTTTCTCACCATGGTTGAATATTATCTTCATGAATAGACATGATTTCTAAGATGATTCAAGCATTAATTCTTCTTTCAAACATCATATCTAAGTATTATAAATCATTCTAATAGCAACAACCAATTCAAACTTCCAAGTTCTTGAAAACCCTAATTAGCATAACACTTCATGAACTATTTTTAATGGTTTTTCATCATCATTTAATCATGTAAATTATTCAAAAACAATCAAAATCAAGCCTTAGAACATCAAATCCTAACATCCCCTTCATCCACCTTAATCAAGAACTTAGAGTTTTAACCATGAAAACGTAAACTAATGGTACAAAAAAATAAAAAATTTCATGTATATCGAATTTGTATTTCATGCTTTCATCAAAATTCTAGCCAAATTACTTGAAAAATCAAAAGAAAATATTTATGTTCTTACCTATGGAGTTCAGGGAAATGGAGGAAAGATGAACAAAAATTCTTGAAATTTTTATGCCTTTAATTTTAGCCATTTGTCATCTTATTTACTAAAATAAATTTAAAATTCATTTTATTAAAAAATGACCACTTTACCCTTAAAATCCAATACTCATCATCATGCCACGTGTCAAGATCTTCATCCAATGGCTATAATTAATCCAAAGAGTTAGTAGATTAATTTTGCCCTTATAAAATCTCAAAATTACAACCTTGCAATTTTCATCCGATGACTTTGATTTAATATGGAAAATCAACTTAAATCCAATGGTCCATATTAAATCTTATCATTTTAAGTCATGTAAATGATATTATTAACCTTGCCTTATCATCTATCAAAATATCCCAAATTTTCGATAAGATTCGATTATTCGAATTTTTCTCGAACTTTAACACTTTATAGCCTTCAACACAAATTATGTAAGAAAAATCCGAGTAAAACAAAAACATCATTCTTGGGTGATAAACTATTCATTTACGGGACTAAAATACATATTTTTCAAAAATTACCATTTAATCCCTAAAATATTCTCAAGTTTATACTTTGATCACCAAATTTTCAATTTATTCATTTTGATCACTAACAAAAATTTTGGAGTATTACATTAATCGATATGTTACTTGGGTAGAATATTTCGCCTTCTTTTAGCCTCTTTTAATTGTTCTTATTATAGATGTACATGTAAAGTATAATGATGTTGTCCTCGATTTATAATTTTCAAGGTTTATGTAGCTAAATTTAAGAACAAAAAATAATCCAAATTTAGGGTAAAATATACAAATAATCCTCCGACTATAGGATGTTACTTTATTGATTCATCAATTATTAAAAGTTATAAAATGGTACCCGGCTATAGGATACTACTTTATTGAGTTCCTCGACTATTAAAATTTATAAAATGGTCACCTAACTATTCCTATGTTTCAAACTCATCATTTTCTATTAGAAAATAGATGACCATATGATGAAATCATATTTTAATAATGCCTTTTGGCACTAGTACTATCATTGCTTTTATACATTGGCTCGACGACATGATATTTCAAGCATGGACTCAACGGCATAATATAAACAAAGAGTCGATCCATAAAATATAACTCAAATAATTATGAAATCAAATTTTAACATATTGTTCAAAAATAATTAATAAAAATCCATTTAAAAAAATCATTTGCCTACTTTACCCAAAATTTAATGAAAAAGTTTCTAAAAATCGAAACTGGTGTTGTTAAAAAAATAAAAAGTAATAAAAAAATCAGTTCTTTAGTGGGTTTTCAATTTTGAGTATTTTTACTGAATTTAGTTAATTTCCTAATTTTGGATTCAACCTGTTTAATTTAACTATCAAACCAACGAATTTTCAATTCAACTGAAACAGTTTTAAAATCCACGAAAGGCAAACTTTGCAATATTTGTGTTTGTTTCATGAGAAAAATGGACAGGGAAAAAAAACAGAATGGAATGGAATGGAAAGAAATGGAAAGAGAAAAAAAGAAAATATTTGGTAATGTTATTATAGGAAAACCCTAATTTATATAAAAGAGGCGTTGGAACCCATTATGAAGGCGACCAACCGTCCCTCCCATTTCATGGAGTTTAAGGCCTTCATTGATTCTTGAGGATCTTCAATCCCATCCCTTCTTGGAAGGAATTTCTTCTTCTTTGTCCTTCCTAAGGGACGCAAAACATGGCGTTGCAGAAAGCTTCAAGCCATGCACATTCATGGTGGTGGGTATGCCACCTTAGGACCAAGCAATCAAAATGGTTAGAACAGAATCTTCGAGGTAAACCCAGTTTTTCATTATGATTATGGAATCATATATTCAAATTGCATTGGTAAATTTGCTCAAATAAGCAGATGAAAAAAAAATGAAACTTTGTGTAAGGGGTGATGTAGATTTTAATTTTTAAGTAGGGTGGGTTTTACATTACTTTGGGAAATCGTTAGGAATTCTAGCATCTTTAACGAAAGATGCATGAAAGATTATATGTCTTCTCCAAACAAACAAATGAAAGACGTGTCCGGCTTGCATCTTCCACCGAAAATATCAAATAATCTAAATATTTTCTGAAAGCACTATAACATTGACCTTATTTAAATTAATCAAATTTATACCACTTCAAGTTAAAAAAAGCATTTTTTTCAATGCCTTATCCAACCATATTTGTCAATTGCATTGCTCCTTGACATAATTTGATTTTGGGTAGATTACACGTTTAATACATAAAGTATTATTCTTTTCCTATTTTGGTACTTAAATTTTATTTTTTTCAAAACCATACATAATGTTTAGTTTATTTTTCATTTTGATATTGGTCGTTAAAAACATGAAACTAAAACTAAACGTTAAGTATGCTTTTGAATAAAAATAAAGCTTGAGTATCAAAATTGAACAAAAGTAATAGTTTAGGTATTAAACTTGTAGTTTACCCTTTGATTTTTTTCATAATAATTATTATTAAAAATGTTCTTTTAATTCAAATTAGTTGGTTATTGTAGAAATTCTATGTTATTATTCGAATAATGAAAAAAATGGACAGACATGGAAGAGAAAATGTGCAGCATGCTGGAAATCATTGATGATGATGGAGATTCATTTGCAAAAAGGGCAGAAATATATTTCCAGAAAAGACCTGAACTCGTTAGCTTTCTTGAAGAATGTTTCCGTGCGTACCAAGCATTAGCCCAAAGATATGATCATTTATCCAAAGATCTTCAAGCTGCCAACAAAACCATTGCCACTGTTTTCGCTGATCAAGTTCCATATTCCATCGAGGAAGATGACGACGACGAATCTGCTGCACCTCACAAATCAAGTGTCGGTGCCAAAGTTCGATTTCTGAATAAGGATTTCCGGAGCCAGGGACAAGTGAAGAAATCTTGTGGCTCAAGTAAAACCAATGCAGTTCCGTGTTCGGGGCAGAGCAAAGACCAGGCACTCGGCGAAATCGATGAACTGCAGAAGGAAATTTTGGAGATGCAGACTGAAAGGGCATTCTTTTATAAGAAATTCCGCGAGGTTGATAATCAGATAAATGAAAAGCAGAGGAAAGTATGCAATTTACAGGTTGACTTTGGGGACGGGCTGGTTACCGATGATAACGAAACTCAGACACTAATGGAAACTAGAGACCTTGAAGTATGTCAAGAATCTGAAAGGATTAGGCATTTAAATCGGAAGTTTGAGGCTATGAGGAACAAAATTGGTTCCTCTCAAAGAAATCTACAGAGAAAGGATGTTCAAACAAAGATTGTTGATAACAAGGCTGAAGAAAAAGAGAAACGTGATTCAGAAGTGTCGAAGAACATTATCGAAGAGAAGCTCCATGTAAACTCGAATGCTTCGCATAAGATGCCACTGCTTGTAGAGAAGATGGATGAACTTTTACAAAGAATTGTTAGCTGGGAATCCGCATTCTTATCTGAAAAAGCTGCAGAGAAGAGATCGAAATCTGCTGAGGAACACGGTATGAGCCTCGGAGAAGACAAGGAATCCAAGATCGAAGGCCCGGGATTCATGAACAGCAGGATGAACATGATGGAAGGTGAATTGAGTAGAGTTAAAGATCTAGTAACAACTGCTGTAGATGAAATCGACATCCTCAGAACGTGTTCCGTTGAATCAAGTCATTGTGTTGATAATTTATCTGCAAACGCTCAAGCAGACAACAAATCCGAGAGATCATCATTAAGAAACAAGGACGTTTCAGCACAAGGGAAAAGCATTGTTGCTTGCAAAACAAGCAACGAATTCAATAATTATTCGAGTAAGGATGTGGCTTCAATGGAAGTAGAGAAAGCAAAGAATAAATATTTGTCTGATACAACAAGCAGTATAGCCGATACGGAGATTGAGGAACTGGAGATCGATGACCAAGAACAGCAACCGAACTGGAGGCAGCTGTACTTGGATGGACTAGATGACAACCGAGAAAAGATCAAAATAGACGGGTACTCTTTGGTTATCGATAATTATAAGGAGGTATCAAAGATGCTTAATGAAGTTGATAAGAGAAACCGAGATGGGTTCTCTGAATTGGCAATGCAGATAAGGGAACTGAAGACTGCATTGGCTGCAAGAGATGGAGAGATTCAAACTTTACACCGAAAAATCGGGTTTTTTGATGAAAACAAGTATGGGAACTCAGTAGACGAAGTAGTAGTACACCATGGAAGTCCGAGCGAGGAATCAACTTTAACCAATTCTGTTCAGGGATCACCTTCAGCTGCAGGCCAGGGGAAAGTTGGATCCAGTGGAAAAGAAGTTGAGCTTGAAACAACAACACATAAACTGGAAGGAAACAACAAGCCTGCACACCGATGGTCCCGTGTTTCGGCCTTAGAAAAGAAGATTCGATCAGATATCGATGAATTGCTCGAAGAAAATCTAGAGTTTTGGTTGAGATTCAGTGCAGCTTTGAATAAGATAAAGAAATATCAAGTTTCGGTCAAGGACTTGAAATCCGAATTACCGAGATTGAGAGAAAGAAGCAACAAGCAAGAAGGAACGACTGAACATCTGAAATCGGAAATGCGGCCTGTTTACTGTCAGTTCAGAGAAATAAGATCCGAGTTAACATTATTGTTGGAGAACAATGGAATGATGAAAGACGATATCGAAGGTCGATACTCGTCGTTATGCAACATCGAAAACGAGATAGCAACTCTTGTAAGCGATGGCGAGCTGAGTGGATATCAAGCAGGGAAGTTCCAAGGCGAAGTTGTGAACATGAAAAAAGAGATCAACAAGGTCTGTAATGAATTGAATGCAGGGTCTGAAAAAGCCAGACAACTTAAGCATGAAGTTGAGAAATTGATGAACAACTTGGAGAAGGAACTTGGGTCTTTAATATCGTCACAATCAGTTAAGTCTAGAAGGACGGGGTCTAAAATTCCTCTTGGATCTTTCTTGTTTGGAATCAAGTCCTCCAAGCAGTTTAGAGGGACATCAAGCAGTTGAGTTAAATCCACTGAGATTTAAATTGCAGTTTTCATCGAGTTTTCTGTTGCCTTTATCGCGACTGTGGTAATAGTGAGTCTACTACTGTCATTACGAATATCGCGATCGTATAATAATAGTTTTGGAAAACAGCTTTACTACTATATAATGACGATTATTCCGACACCTGACCGCTATATAAATCCATTAAACCACTACTTCCCTTGTCCTATATATAATACTTTCTGCAGGCAGAGATTGTGATTACTAATTGCTGCATTACGTTATCCTTCACTAGAGCTAATGTAGAAGTAACACCTTCATAAATTGTAACATTTACAATATTAAAGTATATTAGAAGTACTTGTATTATAAGTAAAAGTTTTAGATACTATACTATAAAAAAAAATTTAGTTCATATACTATAAAAAATATATATTTTAATCCTTATATTAAAAAAATGAATATTTTGATATAAAATTTTAAAGTTATAGTTAGTTAGTTTGAATATTTTGATGGGTAAATTATAAATTTAGTACCTAAACTATCGTTTTAGTACCCGTTCAAAATATTAACGTTAAATTAAAAAAAATGAAAGCTTATGTATTAAAACGGACCAAAATGATAGATTAGGTATTAAACGTATTAAGTTTTTAAAAACGTTAGGTATTAAAACTGATAATTTATATAATAAATGTGTAGTTTGCCTATTTTGATTTAAACATTCTTTAAGTTTCTATGAATTTTAAAATTAAATAAATTTAGACCTTTTGAAAAGAAATAAGAGTAATTATTCAATGTGTATATTAAAAGTGAATAAAGAACAACGATGTGCGATTCAGTTGAATTTTTATGAGTAGATGAATGTCTTTAATATGTTTGGATAATTTTTAAAATACTAAATACTAAATTTTTTTTATAATTTAAAATTTTAAAATATTTTTTATTTGTCTCATATTTTTCAATTAAAATTTTAATTTAACTCTAAATCTAAAAACACTAAGAAAACTTAATGTACATTTTTTTATGTTTTGGCTTGTAATTGAAGACAATAGAATTTAAAGTAAGAGTATGAATTATTTTTATATTTAGATTTCATAAGTGTTTGAAAAAATTATGTAAAAATTCAAGAGAATAATATTTAAAAATTAATTTATTCGAGTTCAAAATTATGAAGAGCTTGAAGAGTGTTTAAATTAAAATAGAAAGAAAAAAAATAAAGACAACAAGCTAATAATCAGTAGCTTCTGGAGCATCACGCCGCAGTTCAACTGTTATAATGGGAGCAAAATCCACTAGAGCAGAAAAAGAAAACGTGCAAACTACGAGGAAGTTGCTAAACCATTATCGTCATTGTATATGTTGCATTCTTGAGAGGCAATAGCAAGTAATTCTGCAATATGTGGTAGCATGGAAGAACCACAACCCAAAGTTAACTTAGAACCAACAGCAGTCCACACATCTCTACTGTCTGTTTCTATATTCACCATACGTTTCTCCAATGACCATGTTATAAAAAGACCTTCAAAGATGTCCCATAATTTCGCATCCAAAAGCGAGCAAGCGCCAATGAACCTGGCAAAGCCTGATATCCAAGTACCCTAATTGTCGCGTAAAACTCCTCCACAAGTAGTAAATTTAGTGTCTATCCAACGGACTTCATCAGTATTAATCTTTATCCATCCAGCAGGAGAAGGGTTTGTTGCGGAAGACGGTTATCGGATAGAGAAAAATCGCAACTGATAATTTGAGAAAATAAAAATGAAGATAAAAGAGACACAAAATTTATGTGGAAAACCCCTAAAAATTTAGGGTAAAAACCACGGGCAACGGTAGAAGAATTTCAATATGAGAAAATAGGAATTACAACCTCTCTCGATCTACCAAGGAGAAAACAATGATAATTCTCTCTAGATAAAAAGGAGAAAACAACTTTCAAGAAACTCTCTAAAATCTCTTTAGTATTGGAAGAAAGCTAGAATGCTTTGGGATGGTTTTGAAGCTAAATGAGCTAGGGTATTTATAGTTGAAATTTAAGGACTAATCTTATAAATACCCTAAAGTTTAGTGACTAAAGTTTATAATTTACCCATTTAATTTTCAAACATTATTGCACCTAATTTTGACATTGTTGCACCTAATTTTGACATTACAATATTAGGTGCCTAACTTGAACCAATTTTCTGCCGCCCAAGCTTTGACATTTCAACAATCTCCCACTTGAAGATTTGATTGGAACAATCATATCTTCACACCATTCTTTCTACCTTGTACCATCATGTTGCTTACGTCTCTGACAGGCCACAAGGATCGACACCAGGTAAATTTATCAGCGTTGATCGCCTTCGTCATGAAATCTGCTATGTTGTCTTTGGTATGGATCTTCTGCATCTATCGTCCCTTCTTCCACCTTTCACGAATGAAATGGTATTGAACTGTATGTGTTTTGTCCTTGAATGAAATGCTGGATTCCTGCTAAATGCATGGCGCTTGACTGTCACAAATAGAGAGACATACTCTTGATTGTGCCCAAGCTCCTCCAATAGCATCTTCACCAAATTGCTTCTTTACTGGCTGTAGCTGCTACATATTCTGCCTCTGTTGTGGATGTAGCCACAACTGACTGCAATTTGAAACCCAGCTTACAGCTCCACCAGCAACTTTGAACACATATCCTGTAGTAGATTGCTTTTATCCAAATCCCCTACACAGTCAGAATCTACATACCCATTGATTAGTAAGTTTGATCCTCCGTAACATAATGCAACATTTGAGGTCCCTTTGATGTATCTTAGGATCCTCTTTACAATATCCAATGCTCTTTGCCTGGATTCGCCATGTACCGACTAACCACTCCCACTGCTTGTGCAATGTCTGGTCTTGTGCATATCATAGCGAACATTAAACTTCCCACTGTTGAGCATACGTACTCGAGACATCTTCATCCTCTCTTCTTCACTGCTAGGACTCATACTGGAGCATAATTTGAAGTTAATAGGAAGAGGGGTAGAAATTGGCTTACAATCTTGCATGTTGATCGTGACAAGATCTTCTTCAAGTAATTCTTTTGTGAAAGCCAAATCTTCCTATTACTTCTGTCTCGGTGAATTTGCATCCCTAGAATCTTTTTGCTGATCCCAAGTCCTTCATTTCAAATTCCCTATCCAGTTGTGCCTTCAATTCTTCAATATGATCTTTGTTGGGTCCTGCAACCAACATGTCATCCACATACAAAACAATATAACAAAATCGTTATCACCAGACCTCTTGAAATAAGCACAAGGGTCTGCATTAAGTATGTTGTATCCAAGGACATATGAAGGAATCAAATCTCTTATACCAACACCTCGATGCCTGCTTTAGACCGTACAGAGATTTGTTCACCCTGCAAACCAAGTTCTTCTTTTCGTCTTCTTCAAAACCTTCAGGCTGGAGCATATAAATCTCTTCTTCAAGATTTCCATGAAGAAAAGTTGTTTTAACATCTAGCTGTTCCAGATGTAAATTCAATGTAGCACACATTGCCAAGACTACTCGAAATGTGTTAGTCGACCACAGGAGAAAAATTTCATTGAAATCAATACCTTCTTTCTGAGCATATCCTTGACCACCAGTCTTGCACGATACCTCTCCACTTGATCGTCACCATTTAGCTTGATTTTGAAAAACCCATTTGTTACCAATTGGCTTCCTCCTTGTGGTAGTGGCACAAGGTCCCATGTATTATTTTTATGAACGGCTTCGATTCTTCTTGCATCGCCATCATCCACAGTGAAGCATCTGAGCTGTTTATTGCCTCCTGGTATGTGATGGCTCACTGTCCTCTGTTAAAAGGCAGTATGCAATATTACCTTCTATAACATAATCTGGTGCCAATTGGGACGTCTTCTCACACGATCTGATTGACGAGTTGTTGGAGCTTCAGAACTCTCTGGTTCTTGTTCTCATGTGCTGGTTCTGCTTCAAGAGATCTCCTTCTTCAAACTCTTTTCCACATGTATCTGAGTAGTCTCTACTTTTCATCCCTATCATCGTCTTCTTTTCTTTGTAGTTTATCTTCTACAAAGATAACATCCCTGCTAATGATCACTTTGCGGGCAGTGGGATCCCAAGCGAAGCGCATACCCAAGATTTGCATTTCCTGGATTTTGGATCCAGCTTTGAGATTTCTGGGAGTTGTACATCACGTACACAATACTTCAAATATATGGAGGTTTGAATAATCAGCTGGTTTACCAGTCCACATCTCATTGGTGTCTTCAGCTCTATTGCAGTTGATGGAGCTCGATTCACCAAATAACAGGCGGTATTGACTGCTTTTGCCCAGAATGATTTTTATAGGCCTGCGTCCCTCAACATTGCTCTTTTTCTTTCTAACAAGATTCTGTTCATCCGCTCTGCCACTCCATTTTGTTGAGGAGTGTTCGCCACTGTGAACTGTCTTTTGATGCCTTCTTTCTTGCAAAAGTCATCAATTTCGCTTGTGTATTATCCTCCATTATCTGTTCTGAACACTTGATCTTATTTCCAGAATCAAGTTCCACCCGCGCTTTGAAGTTTTGAAAGTTGAAAACACGTCTGACTTCTTCTTAATAGGGTGCACCCACATCTCCTGGAGTAGTCATCAATAATGAGACAAAATATTTTGCTCCGCCTAGGGATGTAACTGGTGCTTGCCATACGTCAGAGTAAACCAGTTCTAGAACACTTTTGCCTCTAGAATTTGATGTGTTGAATTTCAAACGGTGCTACTTACTTGTTATGCAATGCTCACATAAAGTAAGTGATACCTTTGTTAAGCCTGGAAGTAGCTTTTGCTCCACAAGGACTTTCATTCCTTGTTCTGACATGTGTCCAAGTTTCTGATGCCTAGCATTGCAGAATCTGAACTACATGAGGCAACAGAGGCTTCTGCTTCTAGCAAAGTTTCTCCCTTCAGCATGTATAAGTTTGCAGCTATCTTTTCGCCTTTCAGCACCACAAGCACTCCACGAAACACCTTCATGATTCCTTTCTGTGTT